CAATAAACACAAAGCATTAATTAAAGGAGTGGAATGGTTTGTTATAAAAAAAAAGAATCAAAGCAAACTGTTTGTGTTTTATTTACTGAAAGAAGCCAACATAATATATCCCACTGGGTTGTCTTTCTAAAATCATCTGTGAAAAATGGAGGTTAAAACCTTTTTAAGTGAAACACGTAAACACATCAGCATAGCAGCACCCTGCTTGCAAATATTTATTTGTCATGTTACCCAATTGTGATTCTTTTTCATGAGGTTCGTGCACGTCTTTGTCACGCAGCTGTGTGGAGGTCAGATGTCTTCCTTCCTCCGAGACGAAGCGACGTCTGAAAACGTGTTTGTTTCAGTGAATTCGATCCCATCAGTCTGATCAGAGCTGAAGGCGAAGAGGAGTCACAGCTGTGGCTTTGGGTTGTGGGGTGTTTTATCCCCTGGTTTCATCTGTATTTAGATACACACAAATATTGGAGGCTTTTTTTCTGTGGGCATTCAGGAAAACAGAGTATCATTTAGATGTTAATTAAAGCGAAGCTGAAAAATCAGCTCCACTATCTGCTTATACCAGATTAAGAATGCTGTAAATATCATACGTGTTGCAGCAAATGTTAAGTCGTTTGATTGTGGCCATCGATTTCCAGTGGAGAAAGCGCTGTATCGACTACAAGGATAAATCTATCGCTGCGGTCATCTTAATCACCCTCAGCCTGATTATGCTGAGGTGGAAGTAATTTTGCTATTGATCCTTAGAGCAGCTCTCGTTTCTCATTAATGCCAAGCTGTGTGTGTGTGTGTGTGTATATATCAATGCTTGTGTATGTGGGCTGGGGTGGGTGTTGGACAGGTGGACCTGTCTCCCAAAGATGATTTATTTTGCACACTGATGAGATTGCCTCATGTACCCCATTCCTGCAGGTCTCTGGAAAGGAAGCTGCAGAGACCCCTACTGGCCAAGTCCCGAACTCTTCCCAGCATCCCCCAGTCTCCAACCGTCTCCAGGGTCCACCACTCGGATCTCATTGGTGGGAGTCCTCCCCGCAGGAAGAACCCTCCTGTTGTCCCCAGCCAGGCAAAGGCCTGCACTCTGCCTCCTGCAGGTAAATAAGAAGCTACAGGGGTTAGACAATGAAACTGTCACCTGTCATTTTAGTGTGGGAGGTTTCATGACTAAGTTGGACCAGCCTGGTGCCCGATCTTCATTATTTGCACATTGCACCAGTAAGTGCAAAGTGTTGAAGGTTCAATTAGCAGGTAAGAGCACAGTTTTGCTCAAAATATTGCCATGCACACAACATTATGGGTGACATGTCAGAGTTCAAAAGAGGACAAATTGTTGGTGCACGTCTTGCTGGCGCACCTGTGACCAAGACAGCAAGTCTTTGTGATGTATCAARASCCACAGTATCCAGGGTAATGTCAGCATACCACCAAGAAGGACCAACCACATCCAACAGGATTAAATGTGGAGGCAAGAGGAAGCTGTCTGAAAGGGATGTTATGGTCTAAAACCAGCTGTTTCAGTTTCATTGTCTAACCCCTGTATAACTTGATATGGTTACTAGTTTTCTTTTTGTAGGATTGTAGGACATAGGATTTGCTCTTATTGCAAGAAAAAAGTATATTTTTACCTTCAAACACAACTTTAAGCTTAAAGTATTTATTACAGGTAAAGCTACAGGTGTACTCTGAAATGTACTGATGCAACAGTGACACAGTGTAGAAATCTACAAAACCGTGCTCACTGAAACTGCTATGCAACAGCTTAGAGCTGAACTGTGTGATTTAAATGTAGCAGGTTAGTTTTGATCCTAGGTCAAAAAGTCTCGCATTTGAAGGGGAATTTAATACTGTCCACTGCAGATTTAACACTTGAGAAAAGTAAATTATTTTAGCTTCCAGAGCTAAACAAGATTATCATCCTGATATCCTGAGCTGTTCCAGTAGGGGAAATTTGATATCGATTCAATACCAAGTAAACACAGGTATCACTGATTCTAAAGCTGATTCTGATACATTTTACTACAAATGTCATGATCATTGATCCATTTTTTATTTTGCCTTTAGTCATTTTTTATAAAACAAAAGGTCAATGACTTTAGACACCTAAAATGTTTTGTATGAACGCACTACAACACAATAAAACAAGTATAAAATAATATGGTAATTCCCCTATTACCTTTTACTACAAGCAATTGTTTAAGAAAAACTTCAATAGTGCAAAATAACCAAAACAAACAATGTAACAAAAATATAAATATAACAATGGCAACAAAAAAAATGGCTTCCACTGCACACGGAAACGATGTAGAAAAGGGGTTTCTGCCTAACGACTAACTCCAAATGACTTGGGGACTTTGTAAAACCGACTTTATATTTGAATTTATTTTTGAAAATGTAAACAAAAGTATCAGTAGCCGTGTTTCCATCAACGTTTTTTAATGTGCATTTTGAAGCATCGCGTCAGAAAAGGTGGATGGAAATGACATGATTCGAAAAAACCCTGTAATTCGCATAAAAGTTGATACGCTCACTTGAGGTGGGGTTTTTTAAGAGTTAATGTGCCAAAGGAGAGATGGAAACACATTTGTCGAGTAAGTTCTGACGTAGCGAACATTTACCTCACATGTTGATCAGCTGTTCCGACTGTCTGAACAGTACCGGACCAGTACCAGAGCGACTGCAGCCGCGACTGCAGCAGGACACTCCTCCCGCTGTCGGCGTCTTCTGTTATTCCCGTAACGTGAAGAGAATTGCATTTCTTTTTCTATGTCTCCAGACAGCATGTAAAATCACCAGAACTAGTTGATATGACAGAATTATTACAACTTTCCTGATAGTAGCAAAGTGTTCCTGATAACTTCTCTCCATAGTCCTGAGATGAGACTTTTACTTCCTGTTTACTACACACATGCGTCTGAATTAATTGATTCGCTTCAAGCCAGTTGGTGGAAACACGTCTGATTTGCATTTCGTCGTTTTTTCCTTTTTGCGAAATAAAAAAAAGGCTCAAAATTCGAAATACATTTGGATGGAAACACGGCTGTCATCACGCTAGTATTGATCCAATACCATTGCTCATCTTGATATAGATACTATCAATATTTAGATTGATGCACCCACCCCTAGCAGCCTATTTCTCCACATACCACTATTTGGACTTTAAATTTGGAGGGATATTAGCAGAGAGTCAGTCATACAGGATACAGCATGAAGCTGCATGTTTTGTTACTTCTCAAAGTTTTGCAGAAATGGCTCCAACTCTTATTTCTCAACACAGGATGATTTTATAAAATATGGCCTGAAACACAGGGGGAGATATGCATTCATTCAATGGACTCTAGACCTTTAATAAGATATAGCTCTGGCCTCAGCGGAGCTGTTGTTTTTTTTAGATCGTTCCTAAATGTCAGTCTCAGTAATGCAAAAGCCTCCTGAACTTTGTTTAAAACGGTCAGTCACTTGGAACGTATCTCRTGCCTGTGATACAATAATGTAAAGGGCAGCGAAGCTTCAGTATGGTCTTCGTAGCGATGTCGAACACGACTCGTTTGTTTCACCTTTTTAAATTTCCACACCTACTGTGATTCTTTGATATTTCCCGTCACAAAACTGAGCACAGGGCGCCACCCTGTTGTCTCGTCTGGTGTTTTTGTTTGTTTTCTCTCTCTCTCTCTCTCTCTCTCTCTCTCTCTCTCTCTCTCTCTCTCTC